GATAGACATGGGATTTGCTCCCAAGTGAGCTTGTTTTAGGTCTCTAAGCTTGACTTCTCATACTCATTAGGCTTAGGGTGGGTTATAGAGAGGAAATGAGGTCTCCTCTCCTTCTTCAGTAGAGTGATCATCATACTCATTAGGGTTTCTTGACAGGTCTGCAATTGAGTACTCAGTGGCCATGTCCTCACAGTAAGCTTCTTTTTTATCAAGATAGTCTTCTCCTCTAGACCATTCCGACGTGAATTCACATCCTTCTTTGCTGACTAGTATAGTGGCTCCATCGTCAGGGGCGTCCTTGATGTTGAGTGGTACTTGGTTGGCTTTTCCATTGAGCTCCTTGATTTGATCCTTTAGCTCTTTCACAATATGTGTTAGCTCTTGTATGGATTTGTCTTGCCATTTAGATCTCTCCTTGAGTTCTAACCAATTATCTGACATCTGAGTGCTTGCCTTGAGTTGTTTGGTCGAGCATGAGCTTTCAGGACAAGTTGGAGACTTCTTCGAGTTGTTGGTGGAATTAGTTGGTCGAACATGTGTTGAACTTACTTCATTAGCTTTCATGACCTTTGTGTCAGACCCCATCAAGCCCTTGTAAACCTCTGAGCCAACTACTGCCTTGTGTGAGTCTAATGACTTCTTAGAACTCAAAGTTTCACTAAGGAGATACCCACCTTTACCACTCTTGATCAAAACAGTTTTGAATTACTTGCTTCTTCAAGTTCCACTAGCAGTTCACCAGCTAACTGTTCCACTTCCTTAACTAAGAAGGTTTGTTCTTCTATTGTCGGCTTCTTCATAGCATCATTGATATCAAACTTCATTTCCAAATTCTTCCCCAGATTAAGATCAATCTTTCCTCGCTTAACATTTATGATTGCTCCAGCTATAGCCAAAAAAGGCCTTCCTAATATCAAGGGATCTTTTGGTTCTTCATCCATGTTTAGCACTACGAAGTCTGTAGGCACCTCCACATTTCCAATCTTGATAGGCAAATCTTCTAATAACCCATGAGGTAGTCTAACAGACCTATCTGCCAAGATCAAGGAGATATTGCAGTATTTATACTTGTTGAAACCCAACCTCTTAGCTACTGAGAGTGGCATGAGATTTACTGATGCTCCTAGGTCACAAAGGCATTTATTGAAAGTCAATGAACCTAGAGAGCATGGTAGAGTGAATGAACCAGGGTCTCCTAGCTTTTCTAGGACATCGTTCTCCTGTATGATGGCACTACACTCATGGCTCAGAACTGTTGTTTTCTGAACCTCTTGAATTCTCTCCATGATCAAGTCTTTAAGGAACTTTTGGGAATCCGGGATACGCGTTAGAGCATCAGCAAGAGGTATCCTTAATTCGACTTCCTTGATGTTCTTGGCAAACATAGCTCTGTACTTATCTTCTAACTCTTTCTTATGTCGACCAGGAAATGGAATTGGGGGCTTGTAAGGATGAGGAATGAAGACTTTTTCTTTGTTTTTGACAGCAACATGTTTCGGAGCAGTTGGTGATGTTGCTGGGAAGGTCGGTCGAGTGACAGCTCGAGTGACAGGTCGAGTGGCTGCTCGAGTGACTAGTCGAGTGGCTGCTCGAGTGACTGGTCGAGTGGCAGCTCGAGTTGTTTGTCAGCTTGATCTTTATTGAGACTGAAATCCTCCCCATCTTGGTATGCACTGTCCTCAGTGACTGACTTGGGTCTCTCTCTAGTGGATAACTCACTTCCACTCCTTATGTTGATAGCATGAACATTAGCATACTCCTTGGGATTCTGAATTGACTTCCCTGGAAGTCCCGTAACTTTGGGAGCAGAGGTAGATGCGGATTATCCTTCTAAGTATCTGACTTTGGAATTCAACGCCTCCACTTTTGCATTCAGGTCATTGTAGTTGCAGTCCAGCTTGTGGTGCAATTCGGATAACTTCTTAGCAATTTCCATGGAGCTAAATGCTTGTCCATGTAGCAGTTGTTGGACCATCTGTTTCATTTCAGCATCAGGAGCACCAGGACCTTGGTTTTGCGGAGGTGCAAACCCAGGTGGTGGTGGTTGCTGGTAGTTCCCCAGGAATTGCTGCTTGGGAACAAAACCTTTGTAGGGAACAAAAGGTTTGTTCCGACCTTGTTCTTGTTGTGGAGGATACACTTGATCATGAGGATTAGCAACGTTGGTGCTGCGGTAAGAGACGTTGAAGTTGTTCATCTTGAATTTGTTGTACCCTTTGTAGCCACCTTGATTGTTGATGTAGCTAACTTCTTCTAATTGGTTAACCTCCCCATCTTGGACTTGATATTGCTTGTCATCAACAAGGAAGTGCACATGCTTCTGCTGGCTACGAAGAATCTTGTCCAGCTTGTCATTCAGCGCTTTGATCTCCTTCCTGTGTTTGTCATCAGAGTCTGTTGTGCCTCTGATAGTTCTGTCGCAGTCCTCGTTGTAATTACCATCTGATTGAGCAAGGTTCTCAACCAATTCCCAGCCTTCTTCAACATCTTTGTTCTGGAAATTCCCATTGCTGGCGGTATCCAGAAGCATTCTGATGCGTGGTAGGACTCCTCTGTAAAGAGTGCTGAGCAGAGAGGCTTTAGTAAAGCCATGATGAGGGCATTGGTTGGTGTAACCCTTGAAACGCTCCCATGCTTCACAGAAGCTTTCACCAGTCTTCTGTGAGAAACCAGAAATCTCATTTCTGAGTCTTGTAGTTCTGGCATTGGAGAAGAACTTTGATAGAAAAGCCTTCTTGCAATCATCCCAGGTGGTGATTGAGTAATGGGGCAGATTCTTCTCCCAGATGTGTGCTTTGTCGCCCAAGGAGAAAGGAAACAAACAGAGCATTAATCCGTCTTCACTGACACCATTGATCTTTGTCAGGTTGCAGAGCCTATTGAATTCATCTAGGTGGTCGAGTGGATCCTCCATTGACAGACCATGGAATTTGTTCCCCTGAATCATCGAGATGAGACCACTCTTAATCTCGAAGTTGTTATTCTGGATAGCAGGAGGTGCAATTCCTTTCCTCTGACGGTGATCACGTGGTGCATCTCCAGCACCAATGTTGGCAGGGCCATTTTGTTTATTCTGTTCTTCAGCCATTTCGAGTGGTTGCTGAGGTACAAGGTTGACTGTGTTTCTCCTTTCTCTGAGTTCGCGAGCTATGCGGTCGATGTTGTGATTGAAAAGGAGGTTCTGATTGCCTGTTGATCGAGTTCGCATACAGTAGAGGTGTACCTGGATCAAGAAGACAACAAGAAAAACACACAGTTAGTAACCGAAAAGAAAATTGAAAAAGAACTTGATCTAAGCAAGTCTAAAATCTCAAATGTAACAAACAAACACCCAATTGGCAACGACGCCAAATTGATAATAGGTTATTTAGTCAATTATCCTAAAACACCAATCATATTGTTGTAGTACTGAAGGTTGTCAATACTAATGGGTGTGATGCTAACAATCAAAATGTGATCAGAAGTCACTAAGTCAAGCCAAGCAATAACAGGTTTTGGTGTGTTCTAGCAGTTCTAAGTGAACATGCAGAAAACAGAAATTCAAGCAGAAACAATAAAATACTCGACCAACACAGCTCTTTGCAGAGCACTGGGTGAGGTCGAGTGACAGGTCGAGTAACAGACAGAAAGTATAACAGGGATACTCGACTGCACAGTCTATTGCCAGACAACTGGGTGGTCGAGTATCATGTCGACTAACAGTAAAGAATTGCAGAAACTAAGGAACAGATGACAAGATGCAGTAAACAACAATAGAGTAAACAAAGAATTCAATCAGACAAAGAATTCCCGAGGATGGGGTAATCGAGTAGTTTCGTTTTCTCAGTTTACAGGTGATTGACATGCTAATAAATTAACCCTAGACAACAAGTTCATTAACCAAATCTAAGTGCCACCGCAACAGAGATTCTCAAGTTAACCTAGTCCCAGACTCAATCACCATTAACGAGAGCTAACCTAACAGGCATTACGAATCAACAAGTTAAAGCCAAAACGCTCCCTGCAATCAATACCTTGGTACAGGGTCACGAATCTCTGGAATTAGTGGTTCAGACATTTCATCGAACACCTTTTGGGCGCGGAAATGTCTGGGCTCAAATTCCAGTTGATCAGAAAGCAATAGGCATTAAGAACAACTAATCCAGAAGGGATCTATCAACCAATACTCAATCACCTAGCATACTGAGAATTCTACACTACTCTAACCCATCCTCAGAAACCTATTCATTACTCAGACATCATAACAGAAAGCATAAACGTCGAACAAGTTGAAAACCTGATAACAACAGTGTAACAGCAAGATGATAACAGAATGAACAACAGTAATCGAAATCAAGAACAAAAGCTGAATACTGAATACTGAATAGATAAAGAGAAATCCGGATTACAAAAGGTCTAAAACACAAGGTCTGCGGAAATAAAACAAGATAAAAAACTTCTTGTCTGCGAAAATGTGAAGTACATGCTACTTATAGCCAAATATTCTGAAACCCTAATACTCAAAACGACGAAGTATCGGGACGGATTATGAACTGTACTCGACTCATGTGGTCGAGTGGGAGGTCGAGTGAATAGCTGGAGTCTTCTTTTCTTCCTTGTGCTCGAGTGTCTGGTTGAGTGCAGAATGAAGAAGACTCTGAAGCTTGCAATCGAGTATGTAGTCGAGTGGTGGTGATGGTGATACTCGACTTCAAAGTTGAGTGGTGTGGTAGAGTAGTGGTCTGGTAATGGAGGTGAAGACACTCGACCTCGTGGTCGAGTGATGTGATCGAGTGGTGGTCAGAAGATGGAGATGAAGTCACTCGACCTGGGGGTCGAGTGATGTGATAGAGTGGTGGTGTCTTCTACTCGACCTGGGGGTCGAGTGACTTCCAGGACTCGAATGACGAATGTCTAGCAGGGACCTGTGAGACTCTCTGCTCACTAGGCTCAGGCCTGTGCTGACTTGGCTCAGACTCATCAAATCTCCTCGATGGCATGTCTCGAGGAGGTTGTCCCTGTGGAATAGCTATAGTGGAAGAGTTGAAGCTCAGCTTATCTATCAGAAAATTGATAGTCTTGAGGCACTTGGGGAGTAGCTTGTCCTGTTTCTTACAGTAATTCTACAGCTTGCTGTTGTTTCTGTGAGCTTCACTCAAGCTCTTGCTCTCCCTCGTTGGAGGTACATGTTCACTAAAATTATACATGCTAGTGTCAAACTCCACTTCTCTGACTTCATCCATCCCATCCTCAGCAGCTTCTTCTATAAGATCATCCTCATCCAATGGCGGAGCGTTCTCATAGTAGAGGTTCCCAAGCGCAGGCCTAAAATCAATGTTATCTCCCTCTATTATGCGTGTAACCTCAAGGCTGGGGAGAAGGATGTTGGCTCTCTTATCTGTAGAGTGCTCAAACCTGAAACGGTCCCTATCGCCAACCATTGCAAACTCCAGGAATTCGCAATGATGCAGATTCTCGATATCCATTGCCCGTGGCTCAAGTCCATCAGATGTGATTGGGACTCCACAAGCGATCAGAATCGGTGTCACAACACCGCCTATGCAAAGAGCGCATCGTGCTCTCTTGTGGTTATTGCTGACAGCCCAGCTCTTGTATCCACACAGGTGGATCTGAAGAAGTATAGAGAGAGATGTGTCATTGATTTCACCTTCGAGAGACATATTGTTCTTAGTTTGGCGGAGAGTGCCTTTGAGAGCCATAGTGATGATCTCCATATTCGAATTGGTAACAGTCCCTGTGATCTCTCGGAGCAGAGGACATTGGCTATAGAACGTTGGAAGTACCTGATGACTGGACTGCGTATCTGATTGCTCTTCGATATAGAAGAATTCAGCGGTACAGAGCTGCCAATGGTGATCCATATGTCTTTCAACTCTTCTCTGTCATACTTGGGCTTAGTACCTGTTCCACTTGGGAAACCAAACATAGAGAATCGCAAGAATCCCAATCCTTCGCATTCCAAATCATCAGAGGTCATACCTTGGTAAAGCTCCACTTACAGTGTGGAGAGGAACTAAATTGTTTCTTCTTCATAGGCTACATATGGATATGCCATCAGAGTGTCCATATGACAACTCTGGTACAGGTGCTGAACATCCTCCAGTAATCCAAGTTGTGCAAGTGTGGTCGAGCATGGATATCTTGTGCTACAGAACTCATTCAGTTTAAAGAAACTGATATACTCCTCAGCAGACAATACATCAGGTTTGTGAAGAAGTTTGGTGGCTCTGCGAGTATGCTCAGGCATGTACTCGCCTTCCAGATCCTCATCTATAAGCTCATACCTCTCTGTCATTGCTCTCTTCCCTTGAGCTATCTCAGCTTTTCTCTTGAAGTTATCATATTCTCTCTGTTCTCTTTCTGGCCTTGAAGACGACGACTCTGTCTCACCCATGTTATAGTCAGGATCAATTGAAGAACTGCCACTGTAGTTACTCATGATTCTCCTGCAAAAGATTTAGAACTCAAAACCCAAATGTCAATAGGTTAGTCTCAAAGATAACAATGAAACCAAAATCGCTATGCAATGAAATGGACCAAATTGATCGAGTATAGCCTTGTACTCGAGTAAACTGGGCTGTCTCCGAGTTCTGCTTTAGTGAATCGAGCAAAACAGAAACCGGTGGTCGAGTAAACCTTTGGAGGTCGAGTAATGTTGAGGAAGTCGGTACAGCTGGTGAGTTCAGACGGTCGAGTGCTTTGTCGGTGAGCCAGAATTGGCAGGGACGAAGCCACAAATCGATGGTCGAGTCTTGTGGATGTAATCGAGTAGCTCTTGGGACTTCGACGGCAAACTAGGTGGGGACTCGACTGCGGCGGCGTAGAGACGGTCGAGTATGGCGAGAACAAAGAGACGATGAACGGTGAAGTGAATTGGTCGAGTATAGCAACGAAATTGAACTTGGTGACAGTGACGAAGCGGTCGAGTACGGTGAGAAGGGGTTGTGTGATTTTCTTCACCGCGGTCGAGTTGTAGCTTTGAAGACAGATTGGTCGAGTGAAAAAGATGTGGGTGATTTCAAAAAGGAGTGGTGGAGATTGAGTTTGAGATTCTCTCTCCATCTTATCTTCAGGGAGAAAGCGCGTGGTCCACACTCTGTTGACTTGTCTTTGAAACTTCAGGAAATCTTCTGTAAACTTGACAAAATCCCTGCAAGTCTTTGTAGCTCCTGTTGGTCGAGTATAATGATGATTTAAAACCTTTTTTTTCTTGGGTTTTAAACATCACATGTACTCGACTGATGTACTCGAATTCAACTCCACCGGGCTATACACTCGATCTCCAGGCCTTCTGTAGAGTAAAAGTTTTGAATTTTTACTCTATCTCCACGTTGTTCCTTTGTTCCTGAGAACCACAAACACAACTAAAACAAATCAAAAATAACAAGAAAGGAAAAAATTATTTACAGGGATAGTCATGGGACTTCTTCTCATGTGAGCTTTTTTAAAGTCATTAGCTTGACTCCTTTACTCCTTTAATTATCATGAAGTTCCTCGAGATGAACCGACGTCACCTACGGAAGGATTTGATCTTATAAGTATTTCTTAAGCCTTTGACCATTTACTGTGAAATCTCCACTCTTACCAGTTAGAGTGACTGTTCCATAAGGACGGACTTCAGTGACACAGAAGGGATCAGACCATCTAGACTTAAGCTTTCCTGGAAAGAGTCTCAAGCGAGAGTTGGATAGCAGCACCTGATCACCAACCAGGAAATCCTTGGTGATGATCTTCTTGTCATGGAAAAGCTTAGTTCTTTCCTTGTAAATTTTAGAGCTCTTCATAAGCTTCTAAACGGATCTCATCAAGGTCACTGAGTTGGATCAACCACTTCTCCTCAGCGGTTTTTATGTCAAAATTCAGATGTTTTACCGCCCACATGGCTTTGTACTCGAGCTCAACAGGTAGGTGACATGATTTTCCATAGAGAAGATTGAAAGGAGTTGTACCAATGGGGGTCCTGAAGGCTGTCCTATAAGCCCACAATGCGTCATCGAGCTTTGCAGACCAGTCTATTCTTGTAATCCCAACAGTCTTTTCCAGAATTGTTTTTATCTCCCTGTTGGAGATCTCAACCTGCCTGCTTGTCTATGGGTGATAAGGGGTGGCGACTTTGTGCTTTACTCCATGCTTCTTCAGGAGGTTCTTAAAAACCTTATTGATGAAATGCTTTCCACCATCACTTATCACTACCTTGCGAACTCCAAATCTCGGGAAGATTATGGTCTTGAACAGCTTTAGCATAACTTTTGCATCGTTGGTAGGACTGGCAATAGCTTAGACCCACTTTGATACATAATCTACGACAACCAGTATATACTTGTTACTGTTTGAAGATGGGAATAGACCCATAAAATCGATTCCCCATACATCAAAGATATCAACTTCCAAGATTGGGTTCTGAGGCATCTCATTTCTTTTGCTGATGTTGCCCTTTCTCTGGCATGAATCACATTTTGAAACAAACTCCTGAGCGTCCTTGAACATTGTTGGCCACCAGAAGCGTGCTTGTAGAATCTTTGACACTGTCTTGAATGTCGCGAAGTGACCACCATATGCGGAGCCATGGCAATGCAGCAGGATACCTTCTACTTCATCTTCTGAGACGCATCTCCTGTAAATTTTATCTTTACAGAGAGTGTAAAGATAAGGCTCATCCCAGTAGTAATGGTGTATTTCTCTGAAAAACTTCTTCCTTTCATAACTGGTCAGGTTGGGAGGCTCCACTTTGCATGCCAAATAATTGATGTGATCAGCATACCATGGGGATCTTCCCTCAACAACGTTCAGTTGGTGGAACTCTTTCTCGCTGTAGCTCCCATCGAAGAATTCTACAACCATGAGTTGCTCTTCTGGCATTGAGTCGTCTATTAGAATGGGTTCTTCAATTCTCATCCTTGAAAGATGGTCAGCTGCACCATTTTCAATGCCTTTCTTGTCTACTATTTCCATGTCAAACTCTTGCAACAGAAGTATCCATCTCAACAGTCTTGGTTTAGTATCCTTCTTGGCATACAGATGCCTCAAAGCTACATGGTCTGTATAGACAGTGACCTTGGATCCAACCAAATAGCTTCTAAACTTCTCAAATGCGAATACAACAGCTAGAACCTCCTTCTCAGTTGTTGTATATCTTCCTTGAGCTTCATCCAACGTCCGGATGGCGTAATATATGACGTGAAGCTTCTTATCTATTTTCTGGCCTAAAACAGCTCCTACAGCGTAATTTGATGCATCACACATAATCTCGAATGGATAGTCCCAATGAGGAGCTCGAACAACAGGAGCAGATACCAAACCTTCCTTGATGGTGTGAAAGGATTTGAGGCAGTCCTCATCGAATTCAAACTCGGTCTCCTTGCACAATAATCTGGTTAACGGCCTGGCTATCTTGGAGAAGTCTTTAATAAATCTTCTGTAGAACCTAGCATGAGCAAGGAAACTTCTGATGTCCTTCACCGTTTTTGGTGGCTACAACTGCATCATCACTTCAATTTTTCCTTTGTTAACCTCTATACCCTTCTCCTATATCTTGTGACCCAACATTATGCCTTCCTTCACCATGAAATGATACTTTTCCCAATTGAGAACAAGATTCGTCTCTTCGCACCTGATCAATACCTTGCCAAGATTCAACAAACATGAGGAGAAAGAGGAGCCATAGACCAAAAAATCGTCCATGAAGACCTCCACCATCTCCTCGATTAAATCCGAAAATATAGAGGTCATACACCTCTTAAATATAGCAGGAGCATTGCATAAACCAAATGACATTCTCTTATAAGCAAAAGTTCCATAAGGATATGTGAAAGTTGTTTTCTCTTGATCATTAGGGTGAATTGGTATTTGAAAGAAACCACTATATCCATCAAGAAAGCAATAGTATGGGTGATTAGCTAAGGGTCAAGCATTTGATCAATGAATGGTAAACGAAAATGATCTTTCCTAGATGCAGCATTTAGCTTTCTATAATCAATGCACATTCTATGACCAGTTATAGTTCTAGTAGGGATAAGCTCATCCTTTTCATTTTTAACAACAGTCATTCCGCCCTTTTTAGGGACGCAATGCACTGGAGAAACCCAAGTACTATCAGAGATAGGGTAGATGACACTAGCATCAAGCAGTTTCAAAATTTTTTTTTTCACTACTTCTTTCAAGTTAGGATTTAACCTCCTCTGTGGTTCAATGCTAGAATAGAATTCGTTTTCAAAGTGGATCCTATGATTGCATAAACTAGGTGAAATTCTCTTTATGTCAGATAATGAATAACCAATTGCTCTCCTATACTTTCTAAGCTCAGATAATAGCAGGTTCACTTCATCATCATTTAACTCATCATTAATGATCACGGATGAAGTAGAGTTTGGACCAAGGAATGCGTACCTTAAACCTTTAGGAAGTGGTTTGAGATCAACCTTCGGAGCCTTGAGTTCAGACCAGTCATTTGAAGTCGGAATGATCAGCTCCCCAGAGTCGCTGGCTGTTGCGGCCGAGTGACTGGTCGAGTATGTACTCGAGTGAGCATGTTGAACTTGTGTTGACCCTTCTTCACTCATCACCATTATCTCTATTGCTGGTCCATTCAATTCCTCAAACGCTTCTGATTCTTCCATTGCTTTATGTGAGTCTAAAAGCTTCTAGTATCCCAAAGTCTCCAAGTGCGGAAACCCATCTTCACCACTTTTGGTTAAAGCGCTGTTAAGGTGATCTTCTTGTGCAAGCTCTTCCAGTACCTCATCAGCTAGCTAATCCATTTCTTCGATCCAAAAGAGTTGCCCTTCTAAGGTCTTTGCCAAGGTTTAGATCAATCTTCCCTTTCTTGACATCAATCATATCTCCTGCAGTTGCTAAGAAAGGTCTCCCTAGAATCAAAGGGTCCTTGGGCTCTTCATCCATCTCAGGACTGTAAAGTCAGTTGGTATCTCTACAGCTCCAATCCTGACTGGTAGGTTTTCGAGTAAACCGTGCGGGATCCTTACTGACCTATCAACTAGGATAAGGGATATGTTACAGGATTTGTATTGAGTGAGCCCCAATCTTTTGGCAACAAAGAGTGGCATGAGACTAACTGATGCTCCTTAATCACATAGGCATTTGTTGAAAGCCAATGGACCTAAAGAGCATGGTAGAGTGAATGAACCAGGATCACTAAGCTTCTTAGGAATGATCTTCTTCTGTATGATAGCATTGCATTCATGACTCAATACTACTATCCCTTGCACTTCTTGAATTCTCTCCACGATCAAATCTTTCAGAAACTTGTAAGAATCAGGGATTAGTGCTAGAGCGTCAACAAGAGGTATCCGCAACTCAACCTCCTTGATATTCTTCGCAAACATAGCTCTATACTTATCTGCCAATGTTTTCTTGTGACGACCACAAAATGGAAGTTGGGGTTTGTAAGGAGGAGGAACGAAGACCTTTTCTTTGTTCTTGACAGCAACAGGTTTCAGAGCAATTGGTGATGTTTCTGGGAATGGTGGTCGAGTAACATGGTCGAGTGGTCGGTCGAGTGACTGGTCGAGTGACTGCTCGAGTTGTTTGTCAGCTTGATCTTTACTGAGACTGAAATCCTCCCCATTTTGATCTACACTGTCCTCAGTGACTAGCTTAGGTTCCTGTCTAGTTGGAAGTGCTTTTCCACTGCGTAGAGTGATAGCATGAGCATATTCTTTTGGATTTTGAATTACCTTTCCTGGAAGTTGGCTTATCTGTTTTTGAGCGGAAGTAAATGCAGAATGTCCCTCCAAGTAACGGACTTTGGTATTTAGTGTTTTCACTTTGACATTTAGATCATTCTAGCTACAGTCCAACTTATTGTGTAACTCAGATATCTTCTTGGCCATCTCCATGGAGCCAGAGGCTTGCCCTTGAAGCAGCTGTTGTAGCATTTGTTTCATATCAGCGTCAGGAGCTGCAGGACTTTGGTGTTGCTGAGGTGCAAACCCAGGTGGTGGTTGCTGCTGGTAGTTCCCCTGAAATTGTTGCTTGGGAACAAAACCTTGATTATTCAGACCTTGTTGTTGCTGTGGAGGATACACTTGATCCTGAGGATTAGCAACGTTGATGCTGCGGTAAGAGAGGTTGGGATTGTTGGTCTTGAAGTTGTTGTATGCTTTGTAGCCACCTTGATTGTTGATGTAGCTAACTTCTTCTAACTAGTTTCCCTTCCCATCTTGGACTTGATACTGCTTGTCATCAACAAGGAAGTGCACACGTTTCTGCTGGCTAAGAAGAATTTTGTGTTTGTCATCCGAGTCAGTTGTGCCCCTGATGGTCTTGTCGCAGTCCTCGTTGTAATTACCATCTGATTGAGCTAGGTTCTCAACCAATTCCCACCTTTCTTCAACATCTTTGTTCTGGAAATTCTCATTGCTGGCGGTATCTAGAAGCATTCTGATGTGTGGTAAAACGCCTCTGTATAGAGTGCTGAGCAGAGAGGCTTTCGTGAAGCCATGATGAAGGCATTGGTTGGTATAACTCTTGAAACGCTCCCATGCTTCAAAGAAGCTTTCACCAGTCTTCTGTGAAAATCCAGAGATCTCATTTCTCAGTCTTGCAGTTCTGGCGTAGGAGAAGAAATTTGCTAGAAAAGCCTTCTTGCAATGCATCCCAGGTGGTGATTGAGTCATGGAGCAGATTCTTCTCCCAGATGTGTGCTTTGTCTCCCAAAGAGAATGGAAACAACTGGAGCTTGAATCCGTCTTCACTGACACCATTGATTTTTGTTAGGTTGCAGAGCCTATCAAATTCATCCAAGTGGTCGAGTGGATCCTCCATTTGCAGACCATGGAATTTGTTCCCCCGAATCATCGAGATGAGACCACTCTTAATCTCGAAGTTGTTGTTCAGGAAAGCAGGAGGTGCAATTCCTTTCCTTTGACGATGGTCCCGTGGTGCATCTCTAGCACCAATGTTTGCAGGGCCATTCTGTTGATTTTGTTCGTCAACCATTTCGAGTGGTTGCTGAGGTACAAGGTTGACTGTGTTTCTCCTTTCTCTGAGTTCGCGAGCTATACGGTCGATGTTATCGTTGAAAAGGAGGTTCTGGTTACCTGTTGATCGAGTTTGTATACAGCAGAGGTGTACCTGGATCAAGAAGACAACAAGAAAAACATACGGTCAGTAACCGAAAAGAAAATTGAAAAAGAACTTGATCTAAGCAAATATGAAATCTCAAATGTAACAAACAAACACCCAATTGGCAACGGCGCCAAATTGATAATAGGTTTTTAGGATCAATTAATCCTAAAGCACTATCATGTCGTTGTAGTACTGAAGGTTGTCAATCCAAATGGGTGTGATGCTAGCAATCAAGATGCAATCAGAGTTCACAGAGTCAAGCCAAGCAATAACAGGTTTTGGGGTGTTCAAGCAGTCCTAAGTGAACATGCAAGAAACAAAAATTCAAGCAGAACAGTAAAAACACTCGACCAAAACAGCTTGTTCCCAAGCATTGGGTGTGGTCGAGTGATAGGTTAAGTAACAGACAAAAAATGTAACAGGGATACTCGACAGCACAGTCTATTGCCAGACAACTGGGTGGTCGAGTATCAGGTTGAGTAACAGGAAAGAAATTCAAAAACTAAGCAACATGTAACAAGATGCAGTAAACAACAGCAGAGTAAACAAAGAAATCAATTAGATAAAGAATTCCCGAGGATGGGATAATCGAGTAGGTTTGTTTACTGGTGATTGACATGCTCAATAAATTATCCCTAGACAACAAGTTCGATAACCAAATCTAAGTGCCACCACAATAGAGACCCTCAAGTTAAACCAGTCCCAAACTCAATCACCATTGACGAGAGCTAATCTAAGAGGCATTACGAATCAACAAGTTAAAGCCAAAACGCTCCCTGCAACCAATACCTTGGTACATAGCCACGAATCTCTGGAACTAGTGGTTCAGACATTTCATCGAACACCTTTTGGGCACGGAAATGTCTGGGCTCAAATTCCAGTTGATCAGAAAGCAATAGGCATTAAGAACAACTAATCCAGAAAGGATCTATAAATCAAACTCAACCACCTTAGCATACTGATAATTCTAAACTACTCTAACCCATCCTGAGAAACCTATTCACTACTCAGACATCATTGCAAAAAACATAAACGATGAATCGAATGAAAACATGATAACAACAGAGTAATAGCAAGATGATAACAGATTGAATAACTTAGTAAACGAAATCAAAAGCAAATACTGAATACTGAATAGATTAAGAGAAATCCGGATTACAAAAGGTCAAGAGCACAGTGTCTGCAGAATAAAACTTATGTAAACGAAAATGTAAAATACATGCTACCTATAGCGAAATATTCTGAAAACCCTAATACTCAAAACGACGCAGTATTGCGACGGATTAAGAACGGTACTTAACCCAGGTGGAAGAGTGAGTGGTCGAGTGATAAGCTGGAGTGTAACACCCCACTCCAACATTTAATGGGCTATTTGTTATGGAGAAAGAGAAAGATGATCAAAGAGAAGTAAACAGATTAGTGGAGAATGCGAGACTCTTCGGATGAGAATGGATCGTCACCACCGCAATGGAGGAACATGGAGAGAAAGAGATCTGGTTCATGTCATTAAGGAGAAGTGAGATGAAGCAGATCTTAGAAAAATCGGAGAGTGGGAAAAGCAAAGAAAGAAGAAGATGAGAAAAGAGGAAAGAGGAAGAACAGTTTCAAGAAGGTTTATTGCAGGGTGAATTCCCGACAGACCAGAGGGACTCAGATAAGGAATAAGGTGTCTATGGAAAGAACACGCTCCCAAGAATCCACATCAACTGACAGATCTTCAATCAGATTTAAAGTCAAGAAGTTATGCACGTTTCTTTCTGGTCAAGTAATTGTAAAGTCTGTCAAACCCAGAAAACCCGAAAAGACAACCCGAGGGAGCTCGTTGACGGCAACGTTTGGAGGTTCGAAACTATTCTGATATGGATGCAACTTTATGCAGACGTTCATGGTACTACTATCTACATATTCAACGGTGGGATCACGTTTCTAACGGTTCGTTACTGACTTATGCATATGTTTCTAAGACAGTTTTGTATGGAGTAAACCATGACAAGTTTTTATTGTTTGAATGGGAATCGGGTTCGGTTTGAGCTGTTAATTTGCAGGAGCCTTATGGAGTAAGGTTTTTGTTGATGGAGAACCAAGGTGGAGCTCAAGAGTATGCAGTTAAAGCTCTTATACTAAGTTGGCCTAAAAGGAGAGAAAGGAGAATAGAGATGTTCTTCATCTTCATTAGGCTAAGGTGAGGGTGGTATTTGCGAAGCATGGTATCATTTTCTTTTGTTATGCTTCTTGACGCATGATATGTAGCCTTAGATCTGATTGCATAGGATAAGATTGCGTGATGATATGACTTGATGATTATTGATGGATATGTATGATAATGATGTTTGACTATGATATATTATGTATGAGAATGTTAAGTATAAGTATGTATATATGATGATTATGTATGTTGTATAAAAGACTAGGGTCGTGGTCTCCCTAGTAATGTGGACAGTAATGGGCCGACGGGTTACATGCTGGTCAAGAAAGGCTGACGAGCCCGGTATGCATGGGAGTGTCTGAGCCACGAGGGTCAACCTCCACTCATGAGGTTCTAGTTGTCACGAGGATGACTGGACCTACAGATATATATACGTATGTATGTGCTATTATGAATAAGATGATCGTTATGAATGAGTAATTAGAAGTTAAAACATGTTAGGTTGATTGCTTGTGTCTAATTTTATATGTTATGAAGATGGTTGTATAGCTTTAGAAATTGTTCTATGTTTCAGTGGGCAGAGTTGATTCTCCTCATTGAGTATTCTTTACTCACCCCCTTTTTCCCCTTTTTTCTCAGGTTAGTAAGCGTGAGGATTTGTGTGTGAAGTTTGAAGAAAACGTTTTTGGCAAGATCAAATGAATAACATGCCGTATAGTCTACATGGCGGGGCGGGTGTTACATTTGGTATCAAAGCTGGTAAAGACCGCTTCGGTTCCGACCAGGAGGGTCAGATTTCTTAAAACCATTTTATGAAAAAGATTTTATCAAAAAAAAAAAACAATTGAATAATTGATTATATGTTTTGCTTGATCTATGACTGATTGCTTTGATTGAATTAAAATGTTTATTTGATTAAGTGAATTTCCATATTTGCTTAGTTTCTTTTTTGGAAGACTTAATTACATTTCTTGTGATACTGGAAATGTAATTTGGATTCTCATGTTTTCTTTGCTTTAGTATGGCGTTAAGAAGTGTCAAGTAAGGATCAATGTACCAGTATAGCAATGAAAGGCTAAAGGATAAGTTTCTCGAGAAAGGAAATGGAACAAAGTATTATGAGAGAATTAGAGTGCAGAGACATTTAAGGTAAGACGGATGGAAACCGTCTAAGTCATGGATATGTAAAGATGTTAAATTACCGAGGACGGGGAAGGAGCCCTAGAAACCGTGGAAAAAAAAAGAATGGGAAGGAAGCCCATGTCAATAAGCATATTTAGGAATATGAGAAGCCATGTCAAGGTAAAAGAGATTTTGATCTTTTGTAAATATGGTGCTAGAGCAGAATGTTTATTTGTGCACTAGAGTTCAGTGGTTGAAAAGTTTAAAGTTTTCTAAGCTACAAGAGTTGCGCATCAAAAGAGTTACCAACGTTAGAAAGCAAGTGTCGATTTTTAAAAACGGTAAGCTGGAAGTTTTAATGAAGGGTCGTCTACTTGTATACCGCAAATGTGGATGTGGCGTTGCTAGAGCTACAAGTAAGAGGTTTATATGGAAATAAATCACCGCCAAAAAATCGATGACGAATTTTATTTAAGTGGGGGAGATTGTAACACCCCACTCCCACATTTAATGGGCTATTTGTTTTGGAAATATGAGGAAGCCCATTTAAAGTCCAAAAGCATCCATTTATAAATATACGCATATCGTCGTCTTTGATTTGTTATCAAGAAGGAAAAAGAAAGAAAACATTGAGAAACCCTAAGGCATAATAGTGGGATCGCAGCCACCGTCTCCGAGTTACCAAACAGACGAGGTCGTGGTGAGTTTTATTTATTGGATCAAAGAGAAGGGAAAGAGCTCATGGGTGGTGGTGGAGAAAGCCGAGGCTAATTGTGACACCGTTGTGTCATGTCAACGTGTCGTCTTCGTCGAGAGATGAGAGAGACAGATTAAACACCATCAGAGAAAGAGAACTTGATTTAAGAGAGAGTGAATTGCCTTGAGGAGAAAGAGAAAGATGATCAAAGAGAAGTAAACGGATTAGTGGAGAAGGCGAGACGTTTCAGATGAGAACGGATCATCATCACCGCAATGGAAGAACATGAAGAGAAAGAGATCTGGTTCATGTCAATAAGGAGAAGTGAGATGAAGCAGATCTTAGTAAAATCGGAGAGTGGGCAAAGCAAAGAAAACAGAAGAAGAGAAAAGAGGAAAGAGGAAGAACAGTTTCAAGAAGGTTTATTACAGGTTGAATTCCCGACAGACCAGAGGGACTCAGATAAGGAATAAGGTGTATATGGAAAGAATACGCTCCCAAAAATCCAC